CTGGTCCCTCTCTCTTTGGTTTTTAAAGATCTATTTGAGATCTATTTGTATGTTTGTTTATTTTTAATTTACTAGAGGGTGCATGTACTCACCAGAAAGACAGAAAGTATTACCGCCTTCCCCACAATGAGGAATGGCCATACCACAGTCCTTCTCAATTTCTCCCTCAACATAGGATTCTGGACACACATGCACCTGGTGTGGGTTTATGAATTGTGCAGTTAGCCTTGTGGGATGCAGCCACCTTAAGCACCATACCGCTCCCTGGCCCTATTTAATATTTTTTTAATTGCCAGAGGGCATGTGAGTTTACTTGTGCATTCAGCCATGTTGGATCCAGCCACCTTAACCAGCAGGTCACCGGCTGGCCCTAGGAAAAGCCTCTATTTTTTTTTTCTCTCTCTCTTTTTTTTTTTGGAGAGGTTTTCACTATAGGGCACGTGCACTCACCAGACAGACAGAGACAGAGACAGAGAGACAGAAAGCGAGAAATCACCCCCCAGGGGGGATGGTCATGCCGCAATCCCTTCTCCTCCATTCTCCTCTCGGGATCTTGGGCATGCACGCACACGCGCCTGGCGTGAGTTTTAAGCCACCGGGTCCGGGACATGAACCGCGGTCGACTACGTGGGAGTCCAGTGACATAGCCATTACGCTAACTGCTGGTCCCAGGACAAGCCTCTTTCACCCGGTGAAATCTGAAGCGAGGTAAGAGAGGAGCCAGGTAGAGATCAAGAGGAAGCGTAGTCCAGGTAGCAGGAATATCCCGTGCCAATGTCCTGAGGCAGGACCATGCTGGTGTGTTGAAGACTGGTAAACCCAATTTAAATGAAAGATGAAGCTGGGGGATTGGATCAGCAGGTGGCATGGTAGTTGAGGGCACTGGACTCCCACATGGCCGACCGCGGTTTGAGTCCCAGACCTGGCAGCTTGCTTTCTCACACAAGGTGTGTGTGTGTGTGTGTGTCCAAGATACCAGGAGGAGAATGAAGCAGAAGGGATTGCGGCATGGCCATCCCGTAGGGGATGATTTCTCACTTTCTCTCTCACTGTCTCCGTCTCTCTCTCTGGTGAGCGCATGTGCCCTAAGGGAAAAAAAATCTTTAAAAAAAATATGTGGGTATGATGGTGGTTTTTATTAAGCCCTCTTTAAGAAGGGGAGGCGCAGTTGGTGTGGTGGCTAAAGTCCTAGATTCCCACATGACTGACTGTAGTTCGGGTCCTGGAGCCAGTGGCTTGAAAATCACAATTAAGTAGATACATAAATAAAAATAACTTTTAAAAAAAGTTTAAAAAAGGAAAGAGTAAGAGTGGGCAAAGGGGAGAGAGTAGAGTTAAGTAAGCGGGAGAGAGATGTCAGGATAGATTTCACTGGGGTCTTGTGGGCTGTGCTAAGAATTTTGCCTTTTCTGGGACCAGCAGTTAGTGTAATGGCTATGTCCCTGGACTCCCATTGTAGTCAACTGTGGTTCGAGTCCTGGACCTGGTGGCTTAGACTCACACCAGGCACGTGTGCGTGTGTGTCCAAGATCCCGAGAGGAGAACGGAGGAGAAGGGATTGCAGCGTGGCCATCCCCCCTTGGGGGGTGATTTCTCACTTTCTGTCTCTCTTTGTCTTTCTGGTGAGCACATGCGCCTTGTACCAAAAATCTCTCCAAAAAAAAAAAAAAAGAAATTTGTCTTTTCTTTTGACAGCAATGGGAAGCCATAGAGGGGTCTAGGCTGAGGAGGGACATGATTCAGGTTCATATGACTCAGATTTATTTAGGTTTCCTCTGGTTGTTATGAGAACAGCCTTTGGCAGACAGAGTCCCAGATGCCAGGGAGGCGACTCTTTGATATTATGATCTCAGTTTCTTAGGAGGTCCCAGACAGGGACAAAACAGAAACAAATTCTAGATGACAGGGGCTGGAGAGGGGGGCCTTCAACTGGGCTCCTGGAGACCCAGTAGACAGTCCTGGCGTTTGCATTATCCTGCTGTGTGACCTTGAGCCACGCCCCTGCCTTCTCTTATCCTTGATTTTGTTTTGTTTTGTTTTGTTTTGTTTTTTGGAGAAGTTTTTACTATGGGGTGCGTGCGCTCACCAGAAAGACACAGAGAGACAGAGACAGAAAGCGAGAAATCACTCCCCAGGGGGGATGGCCACGCCGCAATCCCTTCTCCTCCATTCTCCTCTCGGGA